CCAGAATCGCATTTATAGAAGAGATTCTTCGCACGTGGGAACTGGCTGCTCTTACCAGGTAAAGGGATGAATGGGGGCTACAGAGACCTCGTTCCTCTCTATACTTGAGTTTCCTCTACTCTATCTTCTCACATTAAAAGTGGTAAAATGGGAGGAACCTCCCCAACTAGGGAGATCCCAGAGATCAGAACAGCCAATTTTCTTCCCCATTTTGTTCTAAGTAGGTGCTTTAGACCACCGAGCCATCTTACCAGCCCTTCTTCCCCATTTTGTAGCTTGGCTAGAACTAAGAGAAGTCTCTGAAATTGGCCCTTGGTGAGGAGAGGGACAATATATAGCAGATAGGTTGGGAGACCTTATTTCCTCTTAATTTCAAAAAGCTATGCTTCTCCCCTTTAGCCCCTCCCCATTTCCTGTCTGTGCAGATCTTTGTAACTTCTATCTGGTGCCCTGACTCCCACCCATCACTTGACTCTTGGGAAGGTCAGGGCCAGGAAGCTCTACAGAGCCACTGGATATCATGTTCCTCTTGGAGGCTACTGTGGCTCCTATCTCACTCATCCTCAGGCCCAGAACTGGCCAACAATGGGAAGTTACAGATAAATGGTAATTTCCCCAAACAAAAGGAAGCAGAAAGCTGAAGAGGTGTCACACTCTTTATTATGGTTTCTGCTGTGCTCTGGGAGCTCATCTTGGAGTGTCATGTAGGCTGAGGAAATGGGAGGAACATGCAGCTGTAGACAAGAAGACAGGGCTTGGGGATGCTCTCCTCAGTTTACTGTCAAGTTAGCTTCTGCTGAAAAGTATATGGAAGGGGCATGAGGGATTTGAGGGTGTTGGATCCTCCACTGTCACTCAAGAGCTCCCCTTCTGTGTTTGGGAGACAGATCATGACCATTCCTTAACAGCTGGAGGAATGGCTTTTGCTCACCATGGATAGAGAAAGGCCAACCCAGTGCTATGCAAATTGGAATGTGATTCGGCTCCTTTTGAGCCCAGATGAGACCAGACCCTCTGTGTGTCTGGGGCAGGCAGCCTAGAGGGAGGCAGCTTTTTTAAAGTGCTGGTTGCATCTAATGGAAATTCTGTGACCTATTCATTTTTCTTTTCAAGGCTGCCAAAAATAGGGACAGCAGGAAAGCAACAGCAGGGAAAATGCCCAGCCCCACTCCACTCCAGGGTTGAGCTGTTGGAAACAGGCGTGATGCACTCAAAGTGCCCACTCAAGATCTCTGTTGTCTGGGTTGCAGCCAGGGGCCCAGAGATATCTTAGCAAATTCAGACTAAGTGGCAAGGAGAAAGTAGCAATTATGTTGCCCTGTAAATAGGAAGGATATATAGGGATGAAGGTTACAGATGCTTCAAGGATGTCCTGAAGTTCTAGTATCAAGGTTGATCAACCTTTAAGTGCCAAGTACAGGAGAGTCATGCACTGCATAATGATGATGTTCCAACTAACAATGGCCCCATAAGATTAAATAACCTAGTCATGTTTTATATAAATACACATTATGATACTCATATTACAAAAAAATCACTTAAGATACAGTTCACAGAATGTATGCTCATTGTTAAGCAACACATGACTTCATACTGTGTATCTGCCTTTACTCTGCAGGTTTGAAGGGGACATGCTTCTCTAGAGGTTACTTTTGGCTCTGGGGTGTCATTTATGGCCTAGTTGTTTTGCTGAGCTTCTTTTTAGCTTTTGAACTTCCTGGCACCATTGTTCTAAGTCCTTGGTGCTTGCAATGGTTGAAGTTGTGCTTTGGGCTAAGAGGCATGGGCACAGCCCTGGAGCTCACTGCCTGGCAAGGTGCCCTCTTCTCAGGCAGTCTATGTGCTTTTCATACTGGTGATAGAGATGGGGAAACCTCAAGCCCTGGCCACTTAGACAAGGTTCAGGTTACATTCCATAGAGTGCACCAGGGCCAGAAAGGTGGGTGTTTGCCCTCTGTCTATTGTCTGGGTTGTAGGAAGAGGCAACATATTCATGGCTTCTGCTGCATCTCTCCTCAAAGGAACAGCACTTGAGAACTGAATCAGTAACCAGGAATGAGGAAACACCTTCCCTGGGATACCACAGGGGTCACTGCTCAAATGTCCTGTCAAGAAGAGGTCCCTACCACTAAGAAGATAACAATGTACAATGTATTAATTATTGAAAAATGTCCTATTAATTAGCTTTGAAATTGTCTCATTGATATTTCTCAATAAAATAAAATAAAATAAAATAAAATAAAATAAAATAAAGAGCTCCCTCAGGTGCAAACCTGGGGAGATTGTGTGGCCACAGCCACTCCTTCAATGACCATCTATCCCTGCAGCCCCACATTGTCATTTAGATGCCCTTTATTTAAATCTGAGCATGGAGGACTTCAGGGTGAAAACAGTCTTAGAGTTAGTGGTCCTTCAGAGGAGCATACACAACCCAAGCCTCTCCTGTCTGGGATCTCAAAAAAAGCACTGATCTCAATTTTCTGTAGCCAAGAGTACAAAACATTGAAATACTTTCATACCCTTATTAATAAGGCAGACAGACATTAATTTTTGTACTTGGTAGAATTTCAGTCACAATGATGGAAAAGCTTGAAAAGGGAATGGGCCTCACTGGGTTGAAAGTTTGGGTATCACTATACATATGGTAGTACAGCTTTAGGGATTAGGACACTGTAGTTTGGGTTGGGGGCTTTGCAACTCTGGACTGGGGAGCAGTAGATCCTCCCTTTGATAAAAAGCTAAATGCTTACGTAGAAGAGGCTGGCTGACTCCTTGTGTTTTTCTGCTTTTTAGGACTACTGTGGACTTGGAACTCTTATTATTTGCTAGGGACAGTATCCCCTGGGCCCTTGTTAGCTGAGGCCCCACCAAGGAAGCTTGCTGCCCTCAGATAGGGAAAAGTGATCCTAAATGGGCCTGTTCCCATTGTGGAAGAATCTTAGACTGTTCTGCAGACCCTGGGAAACAGCCAGCCTGATCTGGCTGATGGACTCTCATCACTCACCCATAGAGAGCTAGAAGCAGCACTTCCAGAGTGGTAGACATTGCCTTGATCTGTGAAAGATTAAGGGTCAAGAAGATGGCCTTCAAGTCCTTGTGACTGAAGAAGCAGGAGAAAAAAAGCTGTTCAGCTCTCAAAACTTAGATCTTGTCTTTACTCAAAAACTCTTGTCTTTGAGACCCAGCAGCCCACAGCTACTAATGACTTGGCAGGATAGGAACCAAGAAGAACTCTTGTGTTTAATGTGTTTTAATCTTCTCTGTGCAAAATCTCAGGCCTGGCTGCTTCAGATGCAGTCCTTAGGCTCAAGACTGTGTTTTCTTTATTTCTTCCTCTTTTTCAAAAACTAGACTATACATCAGTCCTGCGAATATGGCTAAAGAGAAGCTGTGGGTTTTGAAATGTTCAGGATCATACATATGAACCTACAATTGCCTCCTGTTTCATTTTGGCCCTAAATAATTTATCCCGAGCAGCTGATCATCCTGCTCTATGCCACTCTTACAGAAAGACTATACAGGGCGGTTAAGAAGCCCCTAGTTGGAGCTCTTCACTGTTCTCTGAGAGGCACTCTTCTTCTGTAAGTACAAGACCTCAAATGAAGGAGATAGATTAGCTTCTATGTGACTATGCTCAGTTCCCTCTTGAATAAATCTTGGTAATCATATCTGCTTGTACTCAAGTCATGCAGCTGGAAACAGAGATATAGAACCTGGACTCTGGGCTAGGGCTAACTCATAACATACTTACTTGCAAACTCGATGACAACTTGGAAAGGGGGTCCTCGCAGGCCAAGCTTGGCACTGTGGTACCTTGCTTGCCCCCATAGTCCTCCCATGTCTGCCCCAAGCCCTAGCATGGAGAGGAAGGACACATGGTGAACAACAAGCAGCAGCAATTGAGGCCACATAGTGATGAGGGAAGGGGAAATGTTCTTTTATAAGGCTTTACTCGGACCTCCTGTGCTTGAGGGAGCTGAGATGCAGATCTTCATAAGCTCTGTTGTCTCGTACTCTTATTGTCATTATGGCTGAAAGCAATCCTTTCTCAGAGCTTTACAGAGGTGCTCTATCTTGAGCTATGGAAGCAGGATTCATTCTCCACACAATGGTGTGCTTTCCTAGTTTTGTGGTTGATCTGGAATGATGGAAAAATGTAAGTCCTCTCCTCTCTTCTTCCATACAGAGCTTGTCCTCAATAGTCTCTGTGGTAGTTGACTTGGTAGTCTAGCACAGAGGGCTGGAACTCCTGCCAACATATTTGTTCCATTCAGGTTGTTTGGGCTTTGGGTCATGAGCAACCATCCAAAAAACAGGGACCAGGAAGATTCACCCTGGATTGTGACTACTTTACTGAAGACTTGTGGTCTTGGCTGAGAGGTTCCTAGAATTCTGGGTCTCTGGCACAGGTTGCCTTTCCCTTTGTTGGTCAACATTTCATAAGCTAGCTTCTTTTTCTGTTATAGGGAATAAAATTTTAAATAAATAATGGGTGAGGAATAAATAAATTGCAGTGGTGATTTTTGACTATTTTTCCATCCCCACACACCTGAGGAACATAGCAGATACCCAGGATAACAGCAGCTCACCACTGAAAAGGCTTTCAGTGTGGGCAGAAAGGGCCTCTGAGCATTTGCAGTAGGGAATGTAAGTCATATATACCTCCCTTTTAAGAATCAATCATCAGTGTGTTGTCTACTGGAAATCAGAACTGGGCAATAGAAGAGTTGAGAAGAGACCATCTTGTCTATGCCTCTTTTCTTTTTTTCTTCACAAAAGGATCTTTTTGACTGAAAAGAACCAGGCCTCTAAAGGGCATAGAGAGCTAGGCGTGTGTGCGCACATGCACATATGTGCACTGTGGTGGCAAGTTTGGCCTCTGATGTGAGAGCAGGAGCTAGTCTAGGAGGGGACCCTGCCACAGCTCTCAGGGCTTCTCCTTGTGGCAGTGCACTTACTGCCTCTGCTGTGGGGAGAATGGTGATTTCAGTGCCATAATGCTTAATGACAAATTAAGATACTGGCAGTGCCCCATCCCCATAAGTCTCAGTGTCAGAGGTTGGTGGAGGAAAGGCAGAAAGGAAAGGAGGGAAAGGATGCCACTGTCCTTGAACCAAGATTCTCTGTTCCACACTATCCTGGGGGCTTCAGGTGAATGGCTGCACTGTTGGGGCGAGCAGCCAAGATGTAGATGACATTCTCTTGCAGGAAGGTAGGCCAGTCCACAGATCTGCAGTAGAAGTAAAGAACAGATTCGTGTTGCTGAGTGCAGAGCCTAAAGGCGTATGAGATCTGATCCCAGTGGCAGCATCTCTTGGGCTAGACAAAACTCAGGGAAGAAAATAAAAACAAAACAAAACAAAAACAACTCAGGGAAGCCTCAGTTTACGTCTGTTATGATTGTAGCTGGCTGTATTACCAAGATAGCAGATCAGAAGGCTGTAGAGGTGTATACTTGGAGTCTGCTTTCTGAAGTGGGCATTTGCTGTTTTGGGGATGGCAGTGGGTTGACACTCATCCCTACTTATATGTGATTTAGGGGGGCAGAGAGTATAGACACCTAAGAAGAGAGTACACTTACCTGGACTCCTGCTCTGGAGGCAGCAGGGCCTTATCTTGACTCTTGTTGCTGCTGCTGGCTGGGCTGCTGTCTGCTATAGGACCTACATGGCTGATGCTGCTAGACAGAAGACCACGTGGTTAGGAGTAGGATATGAAAGTCCTGGTCTCTCTCACACTATGGTGTACCCATGGCTTTGGATATGACTGCCTGGACTTATCTGACATGGGGAAACACAGGGTTTAGAATAGAGGCCATCTCATGTCTGGCCAAAGGAATCAATATCTTCTGCCTCATGCACAGGAGGATCCTTTCCTGGCTGTTGGCAGAACCAGGGAGGTTCCTTTTGCACCAAGGACCATGGAAAAAGGAGAAAGGAGGCTGGACTAGTAAGAAGCAAACCTGACACTGCAGGAAGGAGCCTCTGGGAGGTGTTTGCAGAACCAAGAGTGTTGAGCATGGCGACACTCTGTTTCACTGATGGTGTTCCCACTGCCCCGTGCCAGGAAGGTAGTTCGGGCTCGTTCCCGCTCCTTGACTGTCAAAAGCCTCAACAGAGAGTTCTGAGGAAGAAGAGATAAGTTAAAATCTTTGAGGTAAAGATAGCTTATAAAATGTCAAGTCATAGAGAACCTTACTTGTATGATGTAATCTTTGCAACCACTCTTAGAAGTTGCCAGAGCTTTTCTGATAGCACTGTCTTCAGGGCAGTCCAGTGTAAACCAGCCATCTGTGGGCAGCTAGTTTTGTCACTGACCAGCTGTCACCACATGGAACCTTCACCCATTCCTGATAACTGGCTTCTTCTCAGACACTATTTCCTGTTCCCCAAATTGCCCAGCATGCTTCTTGGGCCTCTTTCTCCCTTTGCCATGGACACTTACCCCAGTGGCCTCTCACCTGAGGACGTAACTGCTGCAGAAGGAGGAGGGACTCATGGGACAAGAAGTCAGGCCACTCTACATGGCCTTGGTGGTCAGGGTCTAGGGCTGCAAACTGGCGAGCTGCCTGTTCCTCTTGCTCATCACTCAATGCTCTGTTACTGTCTCCTCGCTTTGCTGCTTGGTGGCGGTAGCGCACGAAGTCCTCCAGTGTCAGGGAGCAATCTACGGGAGGCACGCCTTGCTGGCCATGTCCATTTTTCTTCACCTTGGACACAACTGCTCACCCCAGGGCACATTTGGTGCACCACCCTCCAGGCTATGATGGAGGTTAGGTGGGTGCCCCTTTGGCCAACAACTCAGGAGTAAGCTCCCATTTACCCCCTAGACCCTAAATCCCAGATTTATTCCTTTCATAGTTAATCCTTCCCTTCTCCCTCTCGGCAGTACCATTTAGCCTTACCAGGGATGACCTTACACCGCTGAAAGGTCTCTGTGAGACTGTACATTTCCTCCTCAGTAAGCAGCAAGTTGAGGTTGTCCTGAAAAAAAAAAAGAAAAAGAAAAGATGAATCATGGCCATACAGGCTAGTAAGAAAAAGGAGAGCCTTGGGTCAGCAGGGATGGAAATAATGTTTCAGCTGGATGGCAATTCCAAGATCATCTGATCCTAGCCTGCAACTCAGAGCCAGGAGACTGAGGCCCCAGAAAGGGTGGAGGACTTGCTCAGAAGTCTTCAACTTTGGTCCAAAATCTTCCCCAGAATCCAAACATACTGACTCTAACTGAGTCCCTTTTACTAAGATACTGTTTGTTTGTTTTTTTTTCAGGGTGTGGTGGCACTCCTGTAATGTAGTATTCTGGGAGTTTGAAGCAAAGGATTGAAAATATGAGCCCAGCCTGAGCAATTTAGTACAGCCCTGTTTTTATAAAAAGGGCCTAGCGATGTGGTTCAGTTCAAAGGTCCTGGGTTCAGTCTCCTGAACAGCAAAAAACTCAAAATAAAACAACAAAGTGCAACTGGCTTTCAAATTATCCTCTGAGATAATGAACAAATTCTTGGGAATGCCTTAGAAAGCTGCTGTAGAGGATAAGACAGTAGGTAGTAAGTGGGCAGGACTGTCTCTCTCCGGCAACCAAAGCAGCTCCATCTTTATACATTTTATGTGTCTTCCTTCTGTTAGGCTATGCCCAAGAGTATTTTAGATAAAAAATTAATTCTAGTTCTTTTCCCAATGGATTATACTGTTCTAAATGACTGCAGAATGGTTTTGAAAGAGATGACATCCAAAAGCCAAATGATTTTTTTTTTTTTGGTATAATAGACATTTTAATTCCAAAGAAGCACTGGTAAATTATTTCAATAGTATTAATGCAGTCTCTATCAAAGATTCTAATAGGTCAAGTCTTTTCATCAAAATACTGGCCAAGAACACAAGCAGGTATTTTATGAATATTCACTTTAAAAAGAACTCAAAACATCCTTTAAATAAGCTTATTGAAAGCCTCGTGTATGCTTGGCATCACAATGTTTTGTATGCAACACTGCGAGATATTTAGTGTGGTTAGAGTGTAGAGCATGTGTGAATGTGTATAGAAATTATGGGGAGAAATGATAAAAGAGGTAGGTAGTCTGTGAAGCACTGGAAACGTCCTTGATTGAGCTCTTCAACAAAGACCTTTATTCTGAGAGTAAAGGGCAAGCACCAATGGGCTTTTAAGTGGAGAGTACCTTGGTCAGACTTGACTGCTATGAAAAACTGAATTACAGTGACAAAATCTGCAGGAATGGAGAGTAGTTAGGTGGCTGCTTCACCATGCAGATGACAAAAGAAAGGCTGATTCTGATGTGAGAACAGAGACACACGATTGTAATCCCAGCATACTGGGAGACTGAGGCAGGAGGCTAACAAGTTCAAAGCCCACATGGGCAACTTGGTGACTTAGCAAGACTGTCTTAAAAAATAAAAAGGCCTGGGGATACAGCTCAGTGTGAAGGCCCTAGGTTCCATCATTAGGAAAGGAAGAGAGTGAGAAGACAGGGCTGACTTACAGGCTGTGAGTGATGAGGGTGAGAAATGAGCTGGGACTTGGATCTAGGGGATGGTATTACAATCCACAGACATGAGGGGTAGACGAAGAATAGGTTTAGAGACAAAGATGAGTTCATTTAGGGGCAAGCTGAGCATGAAGTAACTGAGACATCAGATGGGTAAGGCTCAGAGACAGGAAATTTAAGTCTGATGTGGAAGTCATTGATGTTTAGATAGTGGCTGTAGGGTGAAGCCATCCAAAGAGAGTATACAGTGAGAAGCTTATGAACAACAGAACCCTGAGAAGCACCAGGATTTACGACTAAGACAAAAGATTAAAAACACTGAGGAAGAATGGCCAGAGAGGCTTAAGGAATGTCAGTAGAGAAGAGTGTACTGGATATCTACAGAAAGAGAAAGCTGCATAATGTATGTCAGGCTAAATGATAATACAAGTGTGGGTGTGATTTTGTATTTTCTCTAGTTTCTAGTATTTTGTGTAGTAATTCACACAAAAATACTCAAACCCTAAGAGAAATGGGAAGTAAAAAACTGCTAAGTGCTTCAGAAAATCAAATAACATACTTTAGAGAGAATCATTGGACTTAACAACTAGGAGATCACTGGTGACCTTAGGAAAAGCCAATTCAGCAGAATGATAGATGCAGACATCAGATTATAGGTGGCTATGAAGCCACAGGAGATAATGAGGTTCTCTTAAGAAGCCTGTGTGTGAAAGGGATGAAAAAAAGGGAGTGAACTTAGAAAAAGCCTTTGTTAAAAAGCCTGGTAGACTGTGGCAGTAGTGCAGTAGTGACCATAAGACCATGACAGAAGCTGGGAAGGGAGCAGTGCATTCCTGGGAGATAGAAAGGAGACACCTTCAACCCAGTCCCACATTGGCAGGAAAGGGCAGCAAGCAGAGTTGAAAAGGCTGGCATTCTGAGGGGTGATACTAGGAAGGCTGTTTGTAGAGCAGGTTCTGCTGTAACAAACAGTAAGGGAAAGATGTTTAAGTAGCTAAAATTTAATTGTTCTGTACTTCATTTTAAGGACAAGACAGAGAAAGACAAGGGAACATGGCTTTGCTTTTTTCTAGGCAGTAGGGAAAAGAGGGCAATTATCAGATCCTTTTTATTTGGAAATCAGAGAATAATGAATCTGAAGGACAAAATATCAAGAAGCAAAGACTTGAATCTATTCAGGTATGGTAAGAGATAGACAAGAATCTACTTTCAATGAAAATCTTAGGTTCATTAAAAGATGGAAGGCATTTATAAATAATTTGCAAAGTTTGGACACAGTAGTGCTTTATCATTTAAGTCACATAGTGATCACTTCAGAGATGAACAAATGCTTCTAAGAATCAGAAGGCAGACTTTTTTTTGGTACATGTTGAACTCAGGACCTTGTGCTTACCAGACAAGCAGTGTGCCACACTGAGTTATAGCCCCAGCCCAAGAGTCAGGGGATCCAGGACTGAATGATAGGATGGTAAAATCTATTCCTATTGGAGTGATAGAATGTATTCCTACTGAAAGACGGCTGGTTGGGTTTTCAATAAAGGACAACTAGAGTACCAATACATGACAACTACAGACAATCAGGAAAATTTTAAGTAAAGTTACTTTTGCTTACTCAGGACCATTTTAACCAGCTCCTGCCAGCTCTGTGGCTCTCCACTGGGGATGATTTTGCTCTATCCAAGCTATATCTAGTAATGTCTAGACACATTTCTGATTATCACAACTTGAGATACTGGCAGATGAGGCTAGAGACGCAGCTAAATACCCTACAATGTATCCTCATACCAAAGAATTGTCTAACCACAAATATCAATAGTACAGAATTGAGCAATCCTATCCTAGCTCTAAGATCTTTGTAAGTACTTAGAAAACCCCTTAGGTCACTGCCTAGAAACAAGTGTGCTAACACTGGCCCTCCAGAAAGAGTGCCAAGTCTTCTGTCTTTTCTGCAGCCCACTGTCCCTGTAGTCCAAGCTCACACAGTAGTGGCAGCTCCAGCCTGTTTCCGTGTGGGCCATCTCGATCACTTCCGCTGAACTGTCTCCTTGGATGTAGCCCATGCGGCGCAGGCAGCCATCATGGAAAACCCTGGTACAGATCCTGCATGGGAAGAGGCTCTCAGCTGTCCAGACCTCACAGATGTCACACATTTCATCGTTGACAACCTGGGAAAGATGGCAGGAGTAAGCTGGTATGTGAAAGATGGTGGGAGTAAACAGGTATATGGCAGGGATGTGAAGGTGGAGGCAGCAAGATCCTATGGCTTCTAAGCACAGAGCTACCTCTCTAGGGCTGAGAATCTCTGAAGCAACCTAGAGGAACAGTTCCAACTGAAGCCAGCATTAAGGTGACAGGAGGCTCTTCTAGCTGCTCAGGCTTTTGTGACCATATTTCTGAACAAAAATGCTAATGGGAATTTTAGGAAGAGCAATTTGTTGTAAGTGTTTTCCCCAGGCACTGAAAGAAATTTATCATTGGTTTTCTTGGCATCAAACATAGTAGGAACTCCCAGGCACTGTGACCTCCCCAAATTTCCCTTCCCAAATTTCCAAATGCATTCTGGAGGGTTATTACTACCCATGACTGAGAACCTGTGGATGGGAGAGTTGGTAGAAGATTCTCACTACCTACTGTCCCAAGTCTTTCACTAAGACAAATCCAACGTAATCTGGGCTCAGCTCCATCTTTCTGGTTTTGAGCCTCATTTCAACCATGCCCAGGTCTCCCTGTACTGTTTCTTGATCCTCAAAAAGACTAACACTGTTGGATCTGGCCCAACCTGGACACTTACAGGCTCTCTAGGCTCCAAGCAGATATCTGGAGGCTTGTCATCATCCAGCTTCCGGGTGGGGCGGATGAAGGCAGGGGGAGTGAATCGACTGGTTTTGTCAAACTCCTCAGGCTCCACTCCACGCCCATCTCGGAGCCGTTCCCAGGCTGCACGGTGGAAACTGTTCTCTTCCTGGACCAATGGGGTGCCTGCTTCAGGTTCTTTTTCCTCTTGCACCTCCTGGACAGAACCTTCTACAGTGCCACGGCGAGACCCTGCTAGCTCACCAGTACGTCGGATGGAAGGCCTGTCCCGCAGCCCATCCTTGAAGGCAGACACAGCCAGACTAACTTTCTGTACCTGCTCCACGGTCTGCCGTTTGGACATCAACACCCCCATGGCTCTGTGGACAAAAAGCAGAAGGCACAGATTCAGCCAGTGGCTGAGTATGTTGGGCCAATCAGTTTCACCAGTGTGGGAATGGCTATTAAATAGTTTTCTCCTCTTCTAGAACTCAGCAGCATGGTAAGAGGGAGACAGTATGTATTAAGGAACTGAAAGAACTTGGTTGTACTTCTGACTGGTCCTGTGACTTTGATTTTCCCATTTCATAGTATTGTCATGTGGCTAACACAAAAAAGTGGGCTTAACAGAGCTTAGTAAAGTGGAAAACATTTTGCTTGTGTTAAAATGCTGTTTCTTTAGATCCTAGGGTCAATGTGGTTTAGGAACTGCAAGCCTCTGCCATGCTGAGATAGCTGGAGACTTCAGAGCTCATATTTTTCCTCTACTCCACAAGAGGATTCAAGGGTCAAAGCAACCACATTTCAGGTCTGATTTAAGGAAAGTACTGCAGTAAGTACTGTATGCAATCCATCCAGGATCATCCTCCCACCCTCCTAGTACATTTTAAATCAGAATGATTGAGCTCTTATTTTTAGACGATACCTGAATTAGTCAGGAAACTCTATCATCCCTATGAACATGATCAAGATCACAAATAATCCTCTGCCTCTTCTGGTTAGTTGTCATGCCTCTGTGGATCACTTTGTCTTTCACAGGCTACTGGCCATTTCAAGTTCTATAGTACCTTTTACTGTTCTAAG